TGTGGCGGCTCAGCTCGACGTCATTTTGTAATTAAAATGACAAATCAGTTTTTGATATTAATGCGGATGGTATAGGTCAAAGTTAAATTTTTCTAATAGCATTCTAGTTTTGAATTTTCTTCGAATGTGTTATCATCAGTTTGAATAATTTGGTGAATAAAGGCAAATAACTGTCTCAGTTTGTAGATTAGGTATTTGTAAATAAATATATCTGAACTTTAACAATAATAAGAATAAAAAAAGTTAATTTCCAGCGTCCAGAAATTTACCGAATGGTTGTCGGGTCGACGTCAACAAAGTTGTCTAAACAGTTTATTCTGAAAACTGTTCCATGAGCTACGTCAACTAAACTAGTCGCTTCGACACAATTTCTTGTTGTGTTCGATCCGACTACGACATAAACTATGTAGTAAAAAAAACAGTTTTTTAGACTAGTTTACGGTGAACGATAAACAGTTGATCGAAAAAACGTCGAACCCACCCCTAGATTGTATACACAATAACTATAATAAATATCACAGGTACAGTTCATATGGTTATTACCGACCATGCAATGCGATATAACCACATACTGGAAGTAAAAATATATTTTGATATGGTATAAACTTTAACAGTGTGATGCAGGTATTTAATAAAAATATTGCTGACTTTTCGAGCCAGCAATATTTCACAATGAGTTGATAAACAACAGAAAAAGAAGTTGAGAATAATCAATAATAGAAAACATGAATATATTGAATAAATAAAAAGTAGTTCTATTTTAAGTTTTAATTGTTTATAAACATAATTTTATCTATATTTTTGAAGAAGAATATACACTAATAGTCACTTGGACAGAAAATAACTGGTTTGTTTCTGTGTTAATAAAATGTAAATATTTTTTACAAATAAATGATCTTGATATTTTCACAGGTCGTAACATAATATTCTAACTTTATTTAATTAAAAACCTCTTTGAATAAAGTAATTAGTCCTTGATAAACATTTTTTATAATTTTATTGCGATGATAGAGTTTCTTATCTTAATGCACTTGGTAAATAAGGATATACATTAAAAATATTTAAGTCAATGTTTTAAATAAAATTAAATAAATTGCACACGCAAAACAAGTTAATATAAAAAATAATAAAGGCCGCTTGAATGATACACTACCTTAATTAAAACAATTTTGTATCACTTAGATTTCTACGATATGTTGTCACGTCGCTGTCTAAATAATTAATCGAAATCACTCTAGGCTATTCAAACAACATGTAAAAGTAGATAAAACATCGATTCGCAAATTTATTAAAAGAAAAAATCAACAAGAACCTCTGGAAAAGCTGTTTTTTCTCCCCGTTTTATTTATCCAGAGTTGTTACTGAAAAGATTTTAAGTGCCTAAGTACTTTATTTTGGTAAAATAAATGTAACGTGAATTCGACAAAATATGGGTCAGTGTGTATATAATGGAAGATGTCTCGGACAGTCATGTCCCTTCGCTTCTTCGATTGGAAAAACTAAAATGATAAAACGGGAAAGCAGTTTATTTAAATTTTATATTATATTTCAATATTATATTATTAAAGGAAAGATTTGATAGTTTGTTTGTATGTTTGTTTTACATTAAATAGGCACCGAAACTACTTTAAAAATTGTTTCACGTACGGGTAGCTATATCATACCGCGTAGTACTGGTACTGGTGGGGCTGGGTTGGCTGAAATTACTCCCGGGCACCCACACACACTATAATTTACGCGGGTGAAGTCGTGGGACAGCTATTTACATATATAAAACAACACCATACATATCCTAAATTAACTAAATATACTCATTTACCTGACTGTAGAGGTGTGCCATCGTATCGTAGATATAACAAGTTTAGGTAATTACGATTCAGAATATCGATCAATGAAGATCATATCATCGATCGACTTGCAATTTGATGATTTAGCCACTGACCGCGACCTTACGAATATGTTAGGTGATGTTCAAATCATTATCGACAAGCAATCGGTGTTTGCGCAATTTTATTAATTGTTATGATATAGTTTGTATCGATAGATTTTATTGACTTAGGAAGTCATTTTCACATTAGGATGTCGAACACTTATTTTACGTGTCCAATAAATGAGTCGTTATTAATAATACCGTAATTACAATTACTGTTTCGTTATTAAAATAATAGGTACATTAGTTATATTAAAAATTATCGTATGACACTAAGAAAACCATATAATTTAAAAAATATATTGTTTTGTGGATAACTGTATGAATAATAAACAAATGATACCGAAAATTATGATGACTTGACAGCAGTGTTACCAACTTACAAAAGATGTTATGACTAAGAATAAATTTGCATTTGCATAATAGATGTACGATACTTCTGGTGATTTATAACGTGGCACGCCTTTGAGCAATACTTGTTATGTTGTGGTTTTAAATTTATCAGTATGTAGTATAAAAATGTCGCTTTCAGTCTTTCTGTCTCTATGTATGCTTGAGATCTTTAAAACTACTTAACGGACTTTGATGCGGTTTTTTTTTAAAAGGGTAATTCAATAGGAAGGTTTTTATGTATGATACGGGACCAAGCTGGCAAGGCCAATGGCGGAAAGCTTGTTTATTTATAAAAAAACTCGTGAAATTTAAACTGAATCTTACTGAATCTCGCTGTAACTGAAAGAAGATCAATATTCTTAAAGCATATCTTTTCGAATAATTGTAGTTACATAGAGAACAACTTTATGGGTGTACTGCCCAAGTGGGACCAAAGCGATGTGGTAACAACAGCAGATGCAATCGACACCAACTTTTGGTTATTATCTATGGACAAGCCGTTGAGTTTGGCAAAATGCAGAGGAGTTCGAGATTATAAATTGTGGTCACCCATCCTATGACAGGCCTTTGCAAAATTTGCATTCGAGTTTCTTAATAATATTTATCTGAAATTTTAATGGAGCTAACATTTATGGAATTTAAAAATTTGATAATAATTATTCGTCAAACATTTGGTATCCAAGCGAGTACTACCCAACTCAGCTTCTATGAACTTAACGAGAGTAACGTTAAGTTCATAGAAGCTCTTTCCCTGTTATGAATTGAAATCTACTTGATACTTAAGTTATTAATAAATTATTTTGTTTGATTTATAATTATTAATAGACAGATATTTTATTACAAAAATATTTAAAAAACAAACTGGCCTATATAAATCACAGTCATCTTTCCAATGTTAAATACTATAAACTAATTACTTTAAATTAGCACCGATTAAAAAAATACATCTAATCTAAGATGGTCCTTGCAAAATTATGTATAGCGAAACATGAAATACAAATTTGCACTTTAACTTTAAAGAGGCAAGGATGATAAGAGTAAAGGGTCTTATGAAGATTATCCGATTGGATTGTGTATCACTCAAATATTACTAGTGACGAGTGAATGGTATATAACCACTGCAAATACGGTGTATGGACACATTTCACTTAGGACCATCCTAGAAACACATCAACAATGAAATATGTTAGTTGAATAATATTTTATTACTTTTTATATTGACAAATTTTATGGTGATTGAGTGTTATTTCTTTGAATTTATAGATTGAGTTTTTAAGGGTTAAGTGTTGAGTGTTTACAAAGTTTCAGTGTTTGATATATTTTCTTATTCAGTTTTCAGTTTATGAGTGTCTGTTTTAATTTTATTTTAAATTACCTTCAGTATTAATATCAAGTACTGGAAAATTGGTTATTTGTTGCATTTAAGTGTGAGCTTACGGGATTTATAAAAGTGTTTCTGAACTCAGTGAGAGCGTAATATTTCATCTATGAATTCGGATCTTTAGATGTGATACAATTCACCTTATGCGAAATAATTTTAGTAAATCACTAGCTGTTTTCCCGCGATTTTTAAAATTATAAAGCTAAAATTTACGCGGGAGAAGTAAATTCGAAATTTACTTCTACTTCTTAAATATGTTAGTTTAATAATATTTTATTACTTTTTATATTGACAAATTTTATGGTGATTGAGTGTTATTTCTTTTAATTTATAGATTGAGTTTTTAAGGGTTAAGTGTTGAGTGTTTGCAAAGTTTCAGTGTTTGAGATATTTTCTTATTCAGTTTTCAGTTTATGAGTGTCTGTTTTAATTTTATTTTAAATTACCTTCAGTATTATTATCAAGTACTGGAAAATTGGTTATTTGTTGCGTTTAAGTGTGAGCTTACGGGATTTATAAAAGTGTTTCTGAACTCAGTGAGAGTGTAATATATCATCAACGAATTCGGACCTTTAGAAGTTATACAATTCACCTTATGCGAAATAATTTTAGTAAATTACTAGCTGTTATCCCGCGACTTCTCCCGCGTAAATTTTAGATTATGCTACACGAGTATGATTTAGCTTCCCGTAGATGAAAGAATTTTTAGTAGCAATAGTTTTAAAGTCTATTCAGTGCGAACAAACTACCAAATCTTTCTTAATATTTGTATAGAGATATCATATTTTATTGTCAAACTAATATTTAAACGTGCTCTTATGTGACTGACAATATACGAATTTCGGAATAATAAATATAGCCTACGGTTATCAGTGATGTTTATAGAAATTTATTCGTGTGATTCGTCCAGTAATTTTGAATCTATTTTATATAATATTATATATAATATTATTGACGTATATGCATATATGCGTTGCATCTTTGTGATTGTATCCTAGTAAAATACTTATCGAATTATCACCCCAATTTTACACTCGGACTTGAGCATAAATATTCAAAAATATTATATTAGACATTTCGTTACTTTACATTTTCTATAAAACCATCCCAGTTCTCCGTTTAAGAAAACATGAGTGATAATAACATATGAAAATCCTATATTACCACTGTTACCAGTCGATCCGATGAGTTCAAGTGAAACGTAATTTAAATATTTTTAGTACCAAGGTGTTCAAATATATTGGGCCTTCTTAAACGGCACCTACTCCTTATAAAAATGAACATTTTAAGTTATAAATGCATACTTTTTTTCAGCTTGCTGTTTTGGCTCTGATCTCGGTTGCTGCTGCAGCTAAATTAGAGAATGTATACCTTCCGCCCAACGCGAGAGGTTCCAGCGGTGCAAGCGCAGGCCTCCAGGCGCCATTGGGATCATCAGCCGGTGCCCAGGCTGCTGCCTATTCTGGTGCTCAGTCCAGCGCGTCAGCGAACGCTGAGATCCTGAACTACGAGAACGAAATCAATGAGGACGGATACAGATACTCTTTTAAAACTAGCGATGGAACTGAAGCTGAACAGCAAGGTAAGACAAAATTTTTAATGTAGTTTTGCATTCACAATGATATTTAAAATATTTAACTTATCGATATAAAGGTAATTTCTGAGAAGAATTTCCTGGCGTCTGATCGGTGTCATCGTTTTTACTTACTTTAGGTACAATGTCAAAAACATCGATGTATATTAGAAACTTAACGGCCTTTCGTTAATTACGTACTTTATTTTATAGACTTTAAACTTGTAGTGAGAAAATAGGATGCCACTGATTTGATACTAAGAAAATTTTCTCAGAAATCATAAACTGTTATATATTTTTAAATATCCTGTGATTTGGCGCTCGCAACAGCTTCGAAATATCGGACATTCGATTAATATAAGGTACATGGTAACATGGTTATTCTTATGTTAATAACCCCGAAATTTTTAAGTAACATATTGTATAAAGTCCAAAGAACTTTCTTATGGAGTTAAATTATATAAAACTAAGAAGAAAATAAACAATACTTAACTTTTCCTATACAAACTATTTCTAACATCAACGTAAAAAGTGCATGCAACGCGTCTTTCAATGGTCGTTAATGAGAATTAAGCTACCAACGCTCATGCACATCTGTCCGAAAAGTTATATGAATCTTATAAATAAGCTGTAATCTCAGTAGTAATTCTTTTCTCCGAGCTAATCAACCAATCTCTGTTCTTATTGTATAATAAAAAAATACTGTTAACCAACAAAAGATAAAACGTTTATTATTGCAAGATTATCGGGGTGAAAACTATCTTATGTCCTTCCCAGGGTATCATATACCATACCATATTCATACCAAATTTCACACTGAGACTACATTTAGTATTAGTCAAAATTCATATTATTCAACAGAGACTTGGCAAAGTTAACCTAGTACGAAACCTCGTACCCTACGGGAGTAAGTACTCCCATTAGAAGGTAGTAGTTTTGCTTATTCTTTGTGTTATATAAATTTGGATTGATACTAAAAATGCAATTTTAGCGTAAATTTACTCTGACGCTAAACCTTGTTTATTAATAGCACTGCAGGTGTCCAATGGAGTTCCCTTGACCTAATCTTTACCCAGGGTGCAGAGTAAATTTAAAGTATATTCTCTATATTAAAAAAGAAGAGGCAATGAGTAATTTATTGTTTATTTCTTTACCATTTCACTTAACAGCAACTGATAAAGACCGCTATTATATGTTGCACATTGTTAAATCCATTCAATCGCATCTTAAAAGGTTAACGACGTTTGGAATTATGTATTTTGTTTAACCAATAAATCTTTGTCCAAAGTTTGAAATTATCCTAAATAGTGATAGCAATACTTCACAACTATATTTGATATTTAAGTACCGTATAGGAGCTATGTTATTATATAGCTAGGCCACTGCCGCAGCACGCACACACCAGGCGCAAGACACGCATTGTACGGATTAGTCGATGTCATACGTCCAATGCAGTTACATTTTTCATAGATGCTTCTATGAAAAATGCTACTTTAAGTTTTAATGTCGAAATAATACTAGTTTTTGTGGTAGCTTTATTGTTCCAAAGTATAAAAGGGCTGTAATTACTTTGTTTAACAAACTGAGGAAAGTTGTAATGTCTTATTATTATGTCCAGGTCGTGTGCTCCCTGGAGGAGCACCAGATGAAGCCATTCTCCAAGTCGCTGGTTCTTACTCATATGTAGGAAACGACGGTCAGACCTACTCTGTATCTTACACGGCTGACGAGAACGGTTTCCAAGCAAGAGGTGACCATCTCCCCACTCCACCACCAATCCCAGAAGCGATCTTGAAGAGTCTTCAACTGACCGCTGGCTCCAACAGTAAGTAATTCTGTAGTGAAAACTATCTCTGTCACAAATAATCAAAATTGACCGTAAAAACTTTGTTTCGAGTACCAAATTTGATATCTTAAATACATTACATAAAAACCGTTAAACCTCGATTAGCCACGGGCAATGTGCATCACAAATTATAGCAAAAATGATAAGGGCTAGACCTCTTTTGTAAAGAGCACACTCATTGTTTACAATGCCTTTTAAAGAAAATTGAGATATTATATGAAGCAGCATAAGTTTTGATATTTTCGAGTGTTTATCACAAAACTTATAACTTTTTATTAACTTTAATGATACAAACTGATATAATTCTTCTATTTTGATACTTGATACGCAATTATTTTGATACGCAATGATTTACAAAATACTTATATACCTAATTTAATTAATATCTCATAGTTTGATGAAAGCTTTTTATATCACAGTTATATACACATATTACATAAAAAAAAAATGAAGATTCAATGCACACCTCTAAGTAATATGTGACGTCTTGGCTATGCGTCATCTGAGTATTAGGCAATATCATCTGAGGCATCAGGCGTCGCGTCATCTGAAATAAAGTTAGGTTACCTGCAGCATTGATTTCTTTCGGTTGTCATTTTAAATTATATATATTTTTTATGTTTTCAGATCAATATGACAGCAAAAAGAGCAGCTACGATGCCGACGCTGGCTACTAATTTAAGATGCCAACTGTAACTTCTGTATAGTCAAGCACAGATTGATAGTGTTTTAAATTTTTGCCGTACATTTAGTCCTTTTGATGTTTATTTGTGATTGATTGGACAGATGGCCAGTATGTGTTCAATGTAGACGTAACTGTTATTTTTATTTTATAAAAAATTGTAAATAAATATACAAAAATTATTTCTGCGCCTTTTATTAATTCTGAATATTATAATAAATATGGAAAAATCAGCAGAAACATAAAAGATTTTGCAATTTAATTTTTTATGCAATAAAATAAAATAAAATTTTAATTGGGTCAGCCCAAAAATTAACGAAAAAAATAGGACAGTGTGATTTTATGATAAAACAATGTTAAAAATAAACTCCCGTAATAAATATCAAAGCAATATCTTATATTAGCAACAACACAACAAATTCAAAGGCGTGATTTTTCTTGTCATCGCTAACAACCCAAAAAGTCTTATAGGATGGGATTCAACATTATTTTATTATTTATAACAATAATTATAGATAAATAATCTTAAAAATATGGGTATGTATAATAGTTTTATGATTACAATAATTTATAAATATACATTAAACAAACATACATATATTATATAGGTGTATACATATAATTTATTATACTTATAATTTATAGGTAAAATTCTTTTACGTGCATTTTAAACGAGTCTAATGTCTGTGAGAGTTGTATCTTTACTGGGAGAGAATTCCAAAGAAGCATAGCCCAAACTATAAAAGAAGCATCGTAATTAAGTAAGTTATTGCTATGTGGTGACATTTCTAGTATCGGATTTTCTGATGACAATAACAAGTATGATTCGGAGTTCTGAAGAAAACTAAAGCATTCTTTGAGATAACGAGGGTAAGAAAGATTGAACAATTTTTTGTACAGAAGAAATAGTATACGAGTATTCCGGCAAAGACGAATAGGAAGCCACTTAAGTTCAGTTTGATAATGAGACACATAGTCATAGTTGCGAAGGCCAAATACGAGGGTCAAACTGAAAGTTCTTAGAAAATCAAAAACTGATTACATTAGCCAGTTATTAGTTTTATTATATCTTTTCAAAATATTGTCCATTCACGTCAATACACCGCTGCATGCGATGGAACCACTGGGAAAAGCACTTTGCCCACTCGTCCTTAGGGGTCTCTTCAATGGCATCGCGATACGCAGCCACCGCTTCTTCAGCATTCATAAACCGCTTTCCTTTAAGTTTTTCTTTAATTTATGGAAATAAATAAAAATCACAAAGCGCGAGGTCGGGGCTATACGGCGGGTGACCCAGTAATTCAACGTTTGATGTCGCCAAATAGTCGATCGTTCGCTTGGCGGTGTGCGACGAGGCGTTGTCGTGGTGAAGGAGGATCCTACTGCGAGGTCGTTTCTCTCGAACTTTTTCCAAGACAAGTGGCAAACAATTGGTAGTGTACCATTCTGCAGAAACTGTTTTTTGATCCTCTAACACAATTGTAGCAAAATGACCTATCCTTCCAAAGAACGAGGCCACCATTTTTTTTCCCGCACTTCGATCTCTCTTCACTTTAGTTGGCAACTCCTCGAAAGGAAACACCCACTGAGCAGATTGTCTTTTGGTTTTAGGATCATAACAGTAAATCCAGCTTTCGTCACCTGTTAGTATGTCGAACACAGCATTTGAGTCACCTCCGTTAAATCTTTCAATCATTTTACGACACCAATCCACACGATGGAGTTTTTGAGCCTCAGTCAAATTATGAGGTATCCACCGGGCGCAAAGCTTCCTGACCGCTAAATGTTCGTGGAGGATTTTGTGCACTTGACTCATACCGATGCCTAAGCTTGTCCGAATCTGTTGATAGGTCACTCTTTTGTCAGTCTCTATCATACGCCGCACAACACAGATGTTATCTTCAGTCGTCGCCGTAGAAGGCCGTCCCTCACGTAAATCATCAGTGAGATTAGTGCGACCACGTTTAAACTCATTAAACCAGTTGTAAACAGTCGCACGAGATGGGGCTTCATCGTGAAAGGCCAATCGTAGTCTATCATAACTTTCTTGTTGACTTAAATGACATCGAAACTCATAAAAAATCATTGCACGAAAATTTTCTCGTGTTAAATTCATGATGACGTGACACAGACAATTTTCAATTTGCCGCCAAATCGTAAAACAAATGACAAATGAATGAAATATATACTCAGTAATATTGGCAAAGAGTTATATTTTCAAATTTTAGAATTATTTTTTTATTATATTGTATAGTGACCAGTTCTAAGAACTTTCAGTTTGACCCTCGTATGAAGTCTATGCAGAAATTTTTAAGGCGTTATATTTATTTAGCTAGTCCTTCGTAATATTAAGAAAGCAGGCATCAGCATAGTCAAGAACAGGAAGCACAAGAGATTGAGCAAGCATGAGTTTAGTGGCGATGGATATGAAATTACGAAATCTCCTCAAAAAGCCGAGGAAGAATAACAACTTCCGACTAATCGTTTGGAGCTGTGATGCCCAACTCAGAGTGTCATCCATTATTACCTCCAAATTCTATTGTTCCTGTTGTTCCAAATGGTATAACATTTCCATCAAAGATAACCTTAGTAAGCGTTTGAAAATAAACCTTACATAATAATCTGGAGCTCCCTACTATTATAACCTGAGTTTTCAACGGGTTAACGTTTAGTCCAATTTTTTTTTCCATTCATTGATGCGACACAGGTTTAACATTCTTTAGCTAGCTGTGAAAGTGTAACCTGACAATAAATTTTAAAGTCGTCTGCATATAAGTGAAAGAAAATAAAAGATTATGAGAAATAGCATTTATAAATATTGCAAAAAGTAGTGGAGATAACACGCAGAGCTATGTGGACCGCTAGCCGTCGTGTTGCACCATGACAAGTGCTTCTAGTCAAGATGAACACGCTGTAGGTATAAACAGAAAACTATGAAACCAATCAATTACGAAAGTATGTTAAGTGAGCTTATAATGGCAAGGAAGGATTCAAAGTCGAAGGTCTAATAGTGTTAGAACAGCTCCAGTTATTTTCCATTGGAAAGCGAATGTCATCGGTAACCTTTACCAACGAAGTGACAGTGCTATGGCCATTACGAAAACCTATCTGGAGAGAGTTCAGAAGATCGTGACGAGTAAGTACGACTATCATATTCTTCTTGAATCGTCATGTTATGTGACACCTTTGGATCGTCATTGTCCATATCTATCTTGTATCTCTTGTCAAGGATAAAGGCGGGTTCAATCCAGTCATACACCGCCTTAACAAGCGGGATGGTAATCCATTCTTTCAGTTATCCATTGAGATGTTTAGCGATCTCGAACCGTGCCAGTTTGTGACTTTTTGTCTTGACGCTGTCTTGGCTGCTTCCTGTCTAATATAGATGTAAAGCGGCGTAATATTTAACATTACCTCTAAAACTGCCGTGGGTGCCTTGCTCTTAGCCCATTACTTTACAGCTTATACATCTGCGATCTCGAAACATGCGTTACTAGTTTTATCAAACATCCTCCAGTATGCGGACGACATATGTCTTACGTTGGTGGAAAATCTATTGATAAAAATACAGTCAGGCTGAACTCTGCTTAAATCTACAGAACTATTGGCTAGATGAACATGCACTTACTTCGCTCTTAAAAGCAAGTCTGCCATTTTTACTTGAAAAAGAGTAGTTCCCCCTATCCAAATAAAAATTGATGGTCAAATAATTCCATCATCATATCAAATATTTTTTTAGGAGTTATCCTTGACTTGATTTGTTGCTGCAGATTTGGACCACATTCATGATAAATGCCCTAAACGCTATAAACTCATCTTTTAAGTTGTTGATATTGAATTAAGGTATTGAAGTTCATCCTGATTTGAGTCCATATTGTGCAAAATGCAGTAAAACTAACTCTAATTTAGTGGTGTAGAATAGTAGAGATAAAGTGTACTCACCGGCACGTACTGCGTATTACTTGTTAATTTTCCAAAAATATAAATCAGTAAGTAGTCAGATTTTAAATACAAGTATTTTTCTCGTAAATAAAATTGCAGTTTTCTAAAATGTACTTTACTTACATATCTTTCCACCTTAGTAACCCAATAATATAGGTATTACTTTTAGATAATATATTGTTTTGTTCACTACAAATAACATAATAAATAAATTATTATTATAATATAGTGTAACAGTGCGTCTCGTCACATCATAGCACACCGTTTATTATGTCCTAAATTCTCCAAACTTTTTATGCCTGATCTTTCTTTTTTGCTTATCCTAAACTGAATATCTGAATGTCAGTTCGTAAAACGTACGTATTTACGTAATATAAAAAAAAAATCTATGCTGTGATTTCTATGTATGAGTATAAGTTTGCATCGTATCTTCTACGGAAAACCCAGAAACGGGTTTTTTTCCTTACCATAAATATACTTATCAAGCCTAGTCATCCTAGTTTAATTTGTCTACCACCATCTAATGTAACCCGGACCCGTTACAATAGTACTGTATATTTTTCTTTGTTTTAATTATATTTACGCATTAAAGCTCCGCGGTCAAGTAGTTTGCGTGCTAATTTCAAGATATGATCATCTCAGAGGTCTCCGGTTTGATTCCCAGACGGATCAATGTAAAAAATAGACTTTTCTTTATTTACTTGGGTTTGGGTTTGGGTATAGTGGTACCTTCTTCGTTTTCCACTTACACAATTGTGTAAGCATAATAATAAATTTGTATAACATCCTAAAGCATTGACTTAAAAACTTGTATGTGTAGGTTGTGAAGAGAATAACGGACGAAAAATCAACTAAAATGATTAATTAGAAAATACATATATACATTTGGTGTGAGCCATCTCTCTTTGCAAAATTATATAATGTATAACTTATGGGCAGATAAAAGTAAAGGATCGTATGATGATTATCCGATTGGATTGTGTACCACTTAAATATTAGTGATGACGAGTGAGTAGTGGGTATTTAACCACAGCAAATACGATGTATGGAAACATTTCACTTGAAACCATCATCATAAACACATCTAATATGAAATACTATGTACGTTAATTTTATTATTAATTGTTTTGAAAAGTTTGATGTGATTAAGTGCTCTTCTTTTCCTGAAATTAAGTATAGTGTGTTTTGAGAAATATAGTGTTGCACGTTATCTTCTAGTGTGTGTGTTTTTGAATATATTTTATTTTATCAAAAACTAATTAATAAGACAAAAAAGATTACTGTGTTGAAATTTATGTCTAATTGGATCTTCTAGTGTCTTTGGATTTAGTTAGAGTGACATTAAACATGTCAACAAACGATTCGGATCCAAAAATATACTGATAAACCATGTAGTACTAGTCCACTGTTTTTAAAAATCTGAGTGGAAAAAAAAAACGTTAAATTTCCAATCCTGACCCTAGCCTACCGTGAATCTCAGAGCGATTCGGTAAAAATCCATAAGAGTCAGAACCCCTGGACCAAGTACGATTTTTTCCGAAGCAGAATTCGAATTCGGGTTCTGATTTTTACAGAATACAGGGCTGGAGTGTGGAGGATAGCGACTGAAATGTATTCTAAGTGGCTTATTTATATTTAACGTTTAAAAAATATTACGTTTTTATTCTCTCGTTATTAAAGTAATAATTCACGGATACTTTTTAGGTTACTGTTTTAGCTTTGATATCAGTTGCTGCTATAGCAAAATTAGAAAAGGTAGGAGCTGGCAGCCAGGCTGAAGCTTCATATTCTAATGCTGCCAGTGCTTCAACAAACGCAAAGATCCTAAGCTACGAAAATCAAATCATTGATAATGATTACAATTACTCTTATAAGACTAGCGATGGGACGGAGGTTGAACAGGATGGTAAGATAAAGCCAAAGGTAAAGCATTTATTTGCAAATAGGTGTATTAAACGTTTTTTTTAAATCGACTTTATTCCAACTTATTTTAAAAACGTGGGACATTAAAAAAGTTCTACATAACACATATGCAAAAGATATTAGGTAGTATTTTTTTAAATCGTAATTGCGTAGCACAATAAATACTTGAAAATTTTAACCATCCGTCTCTGATATTCGAAATAGCTGATGTTTTTTCTGTCAGAGTATTTTCAAAGTAGGCACATATGTTTATTAGCTGCAGACCATGCAACACTCGTAGTAGTGACAAGTATTTGTTAGTTTTAAATAGAAGTAGTATTAAGTAAAGTTCGCTGGTTCAAAACTCTTAAGCTAGCTATTTATTTATTTGTATATGCATATTTCAAAATGTATTATATCTTAATATTTATTCTTATAATATCATAGTTGGTTCATCTTAATTCAAATTTATAATTGATTTGCTGACAATTCTGCTTCCGTACACTCGTTCTTGTCTTCCGACTGATCATATATTTTTAATATGTAATACGTTACATACTTACTGGTTTAACTTGAAATATAACTGATTCACCTTGAACCGGTCACATTATAATACCAATAATATCTTATATAAGTGTTACAAAAGTTACAAGACAATACATAAAAACACAAAAGCACTGACTATAAACGGGATCTGAGCAATATATGTGATTTAATTTAATAATTATTCATTTTGAAATATATATGTATTCAGTCTGCAATGCGTAAGTTAAGCAACCTTCACCACGGATACAACATAAAATGGATGGGTAAATATTAAAGCAATCGTTAATACCCATTAATTCGCAGTGATAGTCCGTTCTCCATGTTTGATTTCATCTATAGAGAAGGCCCAACCCATTGCAGTGAGCATAGGATAATATCTATTAATATAGGTTGATGATAATTTTATCCAGGTCGTGTGCTTCCTGGAGGAGCGCCAGATTCAGCAAATCTCCACGTCCACGGTTCATACTCGTATGTAGGAGATGACGGTCAGACCTACTATGTTTCTTACTCTGCTGACGAGAACGGTTTCCAAGTGACAGGTGACCATCTCCCCGCTCCCCCGCCAATCCCAGAAGCTATCATGAAGAGTCTCCAATTGACGGCCGGCTCCAACAGTTACCTATACTATGGTAAATAAATCTTTGTAAAAATTAGTCAACTTGAAATCATCAATATTTTATTATGGAATGATTTTGAAATTGCTCCGAATCAACTTCTAATATAATCTCAGTAGATAAATGTAATTTAAAAAAGATTTAGAAATAAGCGAACCTCTTTAGTGCATGTATCATTTCGAGTGCCAGAAATATGTCATTCCTCTAATTAGAATTTAATATTTGAGAAATTGGGAGGTGACACATCTTTCACCATAATATTGTGGTGTACAAAACATTTAGAAAACCGATATGGCAAGCCACTTACATTTTTAATGTTTCCATTTTAACGCAAAATTATCTTAATATATTTTTAAATATTTATGTTTGGGTCAATTCCCGGTCGGGCGAATATTGAAAATGAACTGTGTTATATATTCTTAAGTCTCGGTGTTTAAGTAACTTCATATTAATATTGATAATAAACTGTTTTATATTTTACCTTCTTCGTGGCACCTTTATGTTTCGAACTTCCGTAATACAAATACTAACAACCTTCTTAATTTGGAATTTGAACAAATTAATATTACTATTATAATTTTCGATACAAAATTTATAACGTATTAAATTTGTTCTTTATAGGAGTCTCGTCTCACAGTCCAAAAGGTATTCCGGTTGGGTCACCGCTATGGAAATTACTGAACGAGACGAAGTTTTCATAACAAAGCTCCAGTAATTACGTGCCAAATACAATAGCCACCCGTATAAAAGTAGGCTATTATAATTTTAGTGTCCTATTATTTGTCTAACACCTATGCAAGCGTTATATTTTTTTATGGAGTATGCAGTTTAATTACTTGGCAAATCACAATATTTTCTTATAAAACTAAGTTTGATTATTGACAGTGATTTTGTTACTCAATCACGTAGGTTAACCAGTTCCTTACCTCATAATCTTGTCTACTTCAGCGTTATCAATATGGAATCCTTGCGAAAAGCTGTAGGACTGCTCTCCCGAGCCTAAACCGCAGTAACAGCAAAATTAGCGTTTTTGAGTTTTTCATATCGTCTAAAAGCCAGATTCAGGCCCTACAAGCCTAATTTTTCCAGTTTTTTCTACGACCAGTAATAATATTTTATTTATGTGTCTTTTAAAGTCAAGGGGCCAAATTTGTAAATTTATCGGAAAATACTCTAAGATTACCACCTAATATGCAGTGACAATTATGACCCACGTACTGTATTTTAGTTAATCTAATAACAAAACTGATGAATATGAAGTAACAGCTCATTTTACTGCATTTAATAGTGTAATAAACGATTTTGCAAAAAACTAGAAGGAGTTAAAAATGTATAATGGCTACAATTTATTAATATGCAATTATTTTAGCATTCCAACACTGCCATGGACGACTTTGCGTTCAAAATTGGATTATAAAGAGTGATTTGTTAAAGATATATAACATACTAACTTTCACCAGCGGTTTCGCCCGCTGGGTCCCTTGGAAAATGTTAAGTGGGATAAAAAATATCCTCTTATCTAAGCAAATTTGGATACAAATAGGGTATTAGCTATCCTATCTGTGTACTAAATTTCATCAAAATTCGTTCAATAGTTTCGACGTGATTGATGGACAAACATCCAAATAAAGAAATTTTCACATTTATAATATTAATAGGATATTCGTTTCTTGTTTTTTCTATTACTGCTAACCACTGTGAGTTTCTTTTGCACTATGCATATAAATATAAGGACACATAAACAATCCTACGTATATTCAAGAACATTCGTATATTTGATGACTATGTTATAATGACATTCTTAATTATCACATTTATAAGATTAGATATTAAGTTTTATGAGTTTCATTGTAATGATGTATACACAACCCCACTAATACAATAGCTCTATGCTTACTCTTAAGATACCTTGTTATTTGCCTTTGCGGCATGTTGGTGGGCAACGCGTTATTGTAAATGAAGCGATACGTCATCTGATTACTAAACGACCTGTCAGCTGAGACGTTTGATGATATATCAACCGATAGATTGCGTAGGTGATAGGCAAGCACAGGTTGCTTGCCTATCACCTACGCAGAGATGTACAAAATACCCTCTACAAAGTATCTGGAATACAAAATACAAGATATTTTAAATGAAGTATTTCAGATACCAGATACGAAATACTTTCGAGACAAGTATTTGAAATACTAGATACAAAATAGGTATCTTATAAATACTTTTAATAAATACAAATACTTTTCTTAAAAAAAAATTTGAATTTAAGTTTGTTTATTATAGACCACAAGAACCTTAATCTTGGACCAGATGGGACCAGGGACAAAGTGGATTTTTTAAGCATTTTTCATTAGAAACAATTTTTACAAGCTTTTATTTAGTTTCACCTGTACTGGTGTTTGTACTCAAATCTTACAAGCTAAATTTCACCCACTTTTCCTCCGTTTGGAGGTAACAAATTAAAAAAGCCTTATATGTTTTTTTTTATTTGTCAATTACAATGTAACATATAAAAATGCTAAATATTTGCATTTTTATTTAAATTACATCATACATCAGGTTTAAATTATTTAGTTCCTTTTTAATAATAAGTTTTTTCAATATAGCACTGTGAATGAAAAATTGCTCAAATATAACAACAAGAATAATTATTTAAATTTAATTATAAAATTATTATTAATTTAAAAACCTGGTTTTACGTACGAAGACTTATTACGACGTAGACCAGATGAGAAAATTACGTAGAACTGAAAATTCATTTTTTCCTAGTGAGATGAAGAGAGTGGGTAAAAATAAATACAGTACTTGGTTTTTAAAATTAATGGCGTGACTTATGACGAGGTGAGTGTGCGTTAGTATGTAACGGAACATATATTAACTTTTTTTTGCAGAACTACCGAAAATGATGCCTCTTTAGTGTGTTAAGCTAATTTGAATTTTTTTAGTAAAAAATACTTAGCTTCTGTAGTTGATTATAGTACGTTGGTTTGTAGGAAAAGCTTATAATGCTTAGATGTACCTAAAAAGACGTAGAGTTGGTATTGCTGGTACTGTTGGTAATGCGCCATTAGTTAAGATCTGATCGGATAAATCTGGTCTCAACCGGATTTGAAGTATTAATTAAGTCTTTATCTATGAAATTTCCGTTTTTAATGAAATAAATTAAGCTCAAAATCAAAAATTTCTTTTTCCCGCTAAGACGTTATCCAAATTCTGGAAGAAGTAGAAGTCTGTAGGCGCATGGTCTGTTAAGTACGGCGGATGACGGAGAAATTCAAACCCCAGCTCTTGTAGCTTGGGTGCCGCCAATTGTGCAGTATGAGGTCGCACGTGGTCGTGCAGGAGCAGTGGAACCGAACGATTGACAAAACATGGTTGGAGTTGTGCCAGCTTCTCCGTCATTGTGTTCAGTTCTTCACAATACACACAGTAAATCTGCAGTAATGCTCGTCCCGTTTGGTAAGAAGCTGTGATGAAATACATCCGCGTCAGACCACCAAACAGCAACCTTTTCGCTTAGGGTATTGTTTCAGTGCTGAACCAAGGTCCAACCAACTTGCCGAACGCTTACGATTGTCGAACAGGATCCATTTTTCGTCACTAGTAACAATGCGGTCCAGAGTTCCTCCATTTGTATGCCTGTTAAGCAGTGCAGTGTCACGACGCGTACTTCGCGCTGGCGATCATTGAGTTCGAGTACCCATTTGTCAAGTTTTTTTACCTTCCCGATTTGACACAAATGAATATTGTTTTGATGCTAACGTCGAAGCTGCTGCTAATTCAACCGTAGATCGAGTTTCATCAGCTTCCACAATCGCCTTGTCGCCAAAGTTTCCAGAACGGAAGCGGGCAAACCAATAACGGGTGGTGCGTTCGTTTGTAGTGTTCGCTCTGCAAACGTTGTAATGTTGCGTGCCGCTTCTGCCTCTTTGCTGCCACGATGGCACACATACTCCATAATTACTCGAATTTTTAACTTATCCATTGCGATGAAAAATATTCAAATGCATTGATATTCATTGATATGAAAAAATAATTTGATATTAGAATTATCAGCCAAAAAAGATAGTTTAATTTGAAATGACTAGTACAGCAGAACGGCAATTTCATAGGTAAAGACCTAATATTTAGACAGGACTCCGCCCGTTTATTTGTTGTTTCTCAATAAAGATCACTTGAATTGAATGATTACTTATTAAAGCAAAATCTACTATACGATAACATCACAGATTTTGTTCTATTTTTGAAAAATAAAGGAGTATTCATTGACGATGTCAAAGAAATTATTTGAAGAATTTTGTCTATTAACAAATTTATTTTTATGATGAATTAGTTGAAAAGCAGTGGGTAATTATTTCCAATACATGCAATGACAGCACTCGTTTCCGAACTACTGAAGATTTGTCAGTATTTTTTTGTATTATACCTCATAATGCGAATATTGAATTTTTTTTCACTTATGAATATGCAGTGGGCTAAAGATAGAAATAGATTAACTGTTGAGTCAATAAAGGCAATATTGCTTTGCTCACGGGATATAATTTCAAGCATTTGCCATGTATCGAATTTCACAGTGAAATTCTTTAAAAATATACTTTTTGAATGCTGTTGTTAGTGGAAAAAGTATAATGTGCAAAAAATTAATAAAATTTATTAATGAGTTTAATTGATATACTGAGTTTTATTTATAGCATATGACCAGGTTTTTACATAAATCAGGATTTTTTACTGCTTGTAACTGGATATTCGATTTCAAGCCCTATGCGCAATCTATCAATTTTTACTAGGGAGGGTGTATAACACCGGTATTACCGTACGTTCTGCCCCCTAATTGTCTAATTTTAAATCTATTGCAATCGCTTTCAGTTTGAAAGGTGTTGCACAACCTTTGCTTGTTTCTGAAGACAGTTGAAAAAAAAGTATTTGTATTATGCAGCAATGGTTGTGCAACACCTTTCAAACTGAAAGCAATTGCAATAGATTTAAAATTAGACAATTAGGGGGCAGTTCTACGCATTAACTTTTTAAATGACACCAAACAATGTTTGGATTAAAGTTATTTTCAACTAAATATTCATTACGTTGATAATTGAACACTTTCTTCTTGTAAATATGTATGTATTAGGCAAATAATGTTTTGTGATATTTATAAAATGTAAAAAATCTTTTTATAAAGTATTTTATCAGAAAAAGTATTAAAAAGGTACTAAAATACTAAACTAAAGTATTTAAATACAAGATACAAAATTCTTCCTAAAAAAGTATTTTAAATACAAGATGAAAATATGTATTTTTTATCTTGTATCTGTATTTCAAATACTTGTATCTAAGATAAGTCACATCTCTGCACCTACGCAACAGTTTGTGCATAATTAGAAGCAATTGAATCTTTCCTTTATTTTGATTCCAAAATATAAAAGATAAGATCAAAAACTTGTAAGTATATAAAATATAAAATATTCTCGGACAGTAATTTTTTTTATGTTTATTTACAATATAAAGAGCTACGATGTCGACTGTCAACGCTTAGACAATATTTGTAAACAGTCAAGCCCAGACTGATCGTATATTTTTATATTTCGTACTTATAATATAATCAAAATTGTATTAATTCTTGATGCAATGTGACATATAACTATGAATATCTCCGTAGTTGCTTCGTTGGTGGCGACAAGCAAAAGGTTCTTTTTTATATTGTCCGTTG